CTCTATATTCTTTGATCTCACGAAAGTGACATTAATCTAAATAAAGTACAAGCCTGTGCATTAAGTGAACATTGTATTACAATGGGCCATACGCCTAACTATGATCAAACAGAAATATTGAGAAGGGAAAGAAATTACAACAATAAGTTGTACTGTTAAAAGTTACGCATATTAAAGGGATTATTCCAAGTTCAAATGAGATAAGATTTATTTTTATTTGTGTTTTTTTTTTCTTAATTACTTAGTAATATAAACTCTGTTGCTTGTTTAATAACTGCAAACGAAACATTTCTACATTTATATCAAAATTTGCAATGAAGGTTTGCATAAACATAGACACTTCCTCTGTCAAACTAACCTAAAATAAATATAAAAAATAGAAGAGACATGTAAACCTTAGTAATAAGTTTTGACAGAACGAAAAAGAAAATCAAATTTAATAATGTCATTATGTTAATTAATTTTGCTAATTTTAAAACACAATCCTCACAAGGGTAAGCCTATTGAAGATATAACAACTTCATTTTTTTAATGTAGTTTTTTATGTTAATTTTTAGTACGTTTTGAAAAAGAGTATAATAAACTCGAAAGCTTAACAAACCTAAAAGAGTTTTACTTGAAAGGCCAGTGTTGACTACTAAACCCAAGATCGTATAATTTATATATATATATATTATAATATATATATATATATATATATATATATATTAATTATATATATATATATATATATATTTTATATTATATATATATATATTATATATATAATTACAGATATAATAGAAGAATATTATTACAGTATAATTTGGTATCAATCAACAGATATTTTCATTTTGCTATATGGGTACTCCCAGTGTTAATCGACCTTTAAAAATTAGTTATGCTGTAATTGATATTTGAAGTGTACTTCTTTTGGTGTCTAAAAAAATGTGTTTTTTTACGTTCTTCATCCTTATAGTCATCCTCAAGCCGTCTATTATACCTGTCGTACTGCACTCAATTGAGAATATTTTAATAAACGGAACCAACGTCGAACAAGTGGACAAATATGCATATCTGGGAACAATGATTAACTCCACAAATGATTACGTTCAGGAAATCAAAATCAGAATAGAAAGGAGTTAGAGCAAATTTCAACAAAATGGGAAGAGTGCTATGTACCAGGGATTTAAAACTGGAACTAAGAGTTAGGTTTTCGAGGTGCTATGTTTTTTCGACTTTATTTTATGGAATGGAATCTTGGACCTTGGAATGCAACATCAATGAAAAAACTGGAATCATTCGACTGTGGGTGTAAGAAGAATTCTGAAACTATCGTGGACAGAGCACGTCATAAACAAAGAGGTTCTGAGAGGGATAAATAAAGAATTGGAAATTTTAAATACAATTAAAACAAGAAAATTAGAATATCTCGGACATACTACACATGGAGAGAAATACACCTTGCTCCAATTGATTATGCAGGGAAAGATCCAAGGAAAGAGAAGCATAGGGAGGCGTAGAATGTCATGACTGCGCAACCTGAGAGAGTGGTACGGATGTACATCAAATGAACTTTTCAGAGCAGCCGTCTCAAAAGTCCGAATAGCTATGATGATTGCCGACCTCCGCCGCGGAGATGGCACTTGAAGAAGAAGACTGCATCCAATTGGGATCATTATATATATATATATATAGATATATATATATATATATATATATATATATATATATTTCCATTATTATACAAATCCTCGAGACTTCGAACGACCCATATTATTCTATTCGCTGCAGGTCGAAATAGATTAGTTATCAGCCAGGATATGCATCTGCGTCCAAAGCCTCTCTTGCTCTCAATCCGTAGAATCAACTGTAGAATTCCGTATGTATTAATACGCATGATGTAGCTGAAGTAAGCCAATTTTCTATTCTTTACGGCGTTTAATAATTTCTTTGTCTTCACTTTGACTTCACTCGAAAAATCAAATAATTAGCAAGAGCTTTACCGACTAGCTATTAGCAAGAGTTGTCGACTATCTTAGTGATAGGACAAGCCAGCAATTATCCTTATCACCTTCAATGGAGAAGATTCGTAACTGCACAATACTAGAAGTCTCAGCAGACTACTGAGATCATAAAAAAGCATCAAGCAGAGAAAGCTGGAATATTTCGGACATGTAATGAGAGGTCCCAAATATAGATTGCTACAAAACATATGCAAGGAAAAATAGCAGGCAAACGCAGTCAGGAGAAGAAGAACCTCATGGTTGAAGAACTTGCGAGACTGGTATGGTGTAGATACAAGATGCATTTAGGGTGGCAGTGAATAAATTAAAATAGCTATGATGGTACCAACGTTCTGAAAGGACATGGTACATGAAGAAGAAGACCCTTCAATGAATGCATAAGATATTTTTGGCTCCAGCACTTAGACCCCATGCCAAAATTGATTAGCTGATGTTTAAATGATACAGTGTAAAAAGGGCTGTTTTAGATTTAATTGAAATACACATTCAGAAAGTCTTTTTATGAGAAAATTTTCAGGTTCTAATTTAGCAACAATAAACCCCTAAAACTTTTCTTTGTTTGTCTGCATTGCCGAAAGGAAGCTGCCTTTTTAAAAAAATCAACGTTTTAGTTTTATTGAAGCTTATTGAGGCCGGGAGGAACTGCATCGATTTCCAGAATGCGATACTACAATGTGCAAAGGAACTAAGAAAAACTCAATGCGCTGGCGTATCAGGAAGTGACGTCCAGACTGGTGTAGGACTTCATCAGAGAACTGAATGTACTGAGAGACCGGTGCAAAATTGAGTTTGTCTGGGTACCAGAGCATCGAAGATAACGAAAAAGCAGATCAGCATGCTAAATGAGGATCGAACGAATCAACGAACTGGACCCTGGGAGCACCAGACCTAACACATTCAGAGTTCCAATATCCAGGTCATTTTTTAGACAAATGCAAATTTTAGCATAAGTACAATAGTACAATTTATGTCTTTACAAAGTATAATGGTCTTTATAAGTTTTGATTGGACTCTGTGTAAAACTATCTTCTCAGAGATATCCTATGGCACATAAAGATAGAAGTTGTATACACAGAGTGTAATAAGAGATTAGGGTTATGCTCAAAAGAATTTCTTAGGTCGAGGTGCAGAGACTAAATCGCCTATACTTAATTGAACTTACGTCTTTCGGCACCGCAAAATAATACACCAACTATTTGTTTGTATTAACATCTTCTTCCTATGCCGTCCCCATTAACGGAGGTTGGCGACCACATTTCTAAAAGTTTCTCTGTTTTTTGCAACGTGGAATAATTTATCTACAGTCATGTTTGTCCAGTCTCGAATATTTCTCAGCCATGACTTCCTCTTTCTACCTATTCCCTTTTTGCCATCTTCTCTACCCTGCATGATGACCTGCAGAAGACTATATTTATCATTCCTCAGTATGTATCCAAGGTATGCAGTCTTGCATACTTTTATTGTTCTCAACAATTTTTTGTCTCGACCCATGTTTCTCAGCACTTCTTTATGGCAGTCCATGGAATTCTCAACATTCTCCGGTATATCCAAAGTTCAAAGGCTTCAATCTTCTTAACTATTTGCGCTTTTAACGTCCATGTTTCTACCCCGTACTATAGTTGGGACCAGACGTAACATTCAACAAACCTCAGTCTCAGCGCAGTATTCAGATTTTTGTGACAGAACAATTGCTTGAATTTTAAGAACGCTGCCCTTGCCATTTCTATTCGTACCCTAATCTCTTGGTCTGGATCTAATTATGTGTTGATATAAGCTCCCAGACATTTATATTTTGTCACTTTCTCTATTTGCTGTCCACCAAGGGTTAGTTGTTCATTATTTATTTGACTCCTTGATACTATCAAAAATTGGGTCTTATCTGTGTTGATGTCAAGTCCCATTTGAATGCATTCACTATTTATTGCATCTAATAAAGCTTATAGTTCTTCTATACTCTCAGCCATAATTACCGTGTCATCTGCAAATCTTTTAAGGCTTTTCTGAATATGACCTGTGAGTAGACGTTGAAAAGCGTCGGAGACAAGACGCATCCTTGCCTGACCCCTCTCGCAATCGGTATATTATTTGTTTCTATATCGTTCACCTTTACTACTGCTTTCTGGTTCCAGTATATAGCCTTAATAAACTGAATGTATTTTTTGTCTAAATTGATGTTTTTTAATTCATCTATTAACTTCATATGCTACACTCGGTCAAAAGCCTTCCTTAAGTCTATGAAGCATACATATGCACTCTTGTTATATTCCCGACATTTCTGCAAGAGTACCGTCAACGCAAATAATGCCTCTCTTGTACCCATGCCTCCTCTGAAGCCAAACTCCGTTTAATCTATCTTCTCCTCACATTTCTTATAAATGGGGTTTCGAACCATTTTCAAGAGAATCTTTAAAGGGTGCATTAGGCCTATCAATCTATAGTCGTTACATGATTTGGGATTCTTGTTTTTTCGTAGAGGTAAAAATATCTATTTAAGCCATTCCTCTGGGATGTTGCTCTCTTCATATAATATGTGGTTGAGAATTTGGATGAGTCTTTATATTACCGTCATCTAATGACTGTATTAACATGCATCAACCAAATTATAAAAAATCATCGCTCCAAAAATTTAACTATGTATAAGCAATTCAAATAGCATTAATTTGTATTACAAAATGTTCTGTCACGTATGCCATTAAAACGCCAAGCTTTATGATATTTTACACATAAATATTACATTAGCAATTCAAATGGATGATAGAAGTCACACTAAATGAAAATACTTAAATAGTTACCTAGATATATTTATTTAGTTGAGTTCCTAAAAAGTATTTTGTCATTGGGGGCGTTGTTTTGACGTAACAGATTTTGTCAAATTTTGTACATTTTACAATAATACTAACCGTTTTATGATTCACGTAAATAATTTTTGTTTGAGTTTACTCTGTTGCATTTTTAAGATTTTACTTAATATATTAATAGTTTTGTTCATTTTAGGGTGACCTAGAACTATGCGATTCAAGCGATGTAAGTTTAAGTCCCCAAGACATGGATGACGATGGGGGCAAGGTGGTGATTGTGGGGGTGTGTGCCATGGAGAAGAAAACTCAGAGTAAACCGATGAAGGAGATTCTTACACGTTTACAAGAGTTTGAATACATCAAGGTGATAGTATTTGAAGAGGAAGTTATTTTACAGGTAATTTGTTGTTTTTGTATGACGGATTTTTCAATTTTATGTTTTTTTTTTATTAATATTGTTTAACTGCTACACTGTATTTGCTAAGGAAAGCTAAAAGCCAAGATCACTACCATTAAAAGCCAAGATCATAATGTACTTTTGGAGCTTGCACAAGTCACCTTTTTTGTCCAGTTACCTTTTTTTCACGTCCAATGTGTTGGATTGTCGACAAGGATACTCCGGTTAAAATGAACACTGAACTACAGCTTTCACTGTACGAAGTGTATTTTTTATTTTCATACACTCTGCAGACAATCTGCTTTTCCTCTACCGACATAAATTTCCGCTTTCTTTGTACATTACTTGGACTCGCTACAGCACGTCTTAAGTGCTATAAAAAGAATAAACATCATATTCTGCTATTTGTCTGTTGTTTATTTGCCTCAAAAACTATTTTAAAGTTAATAATAAAGTCTATTTAATAAATATATTCACAAGAAAACAGAACACTCCACGCCTATACACATATAGAATGTGGAACGAATGAACTTTTTCTCTCATTCCCATTCTTTCCGAGGACTTAAATATACAAACCAGCGAAATGTTGATAAGTTTGCCGATATTTCAAAGTATTTAACGAACATTTCCAACTATACGCTCATGAATCGCACCGATATGAAGAATTTATATTGTTATGGAGGCAAATTTTATGGAACTATCTTACTTTTCACTTATTCACATTGCGATTGTGCATACACAATAAAAATGGAGCCCGGTAAGAATTTACTTTTGACATTTAACATTCTTGATGTTAGCTCTTAGTCAACGTGTAAACGAGTCACTTATAACTTAAAATTATCTAGTATCATCATCATCATCATTGGTGCTACAGCCCTATAAAAGAGCCTCGACCTTCATAAGTCTATTACGCCAGTCAGTTCTATCCATTGCCAACTGTTGCCAGTTTGCTGCGCCTATTTTTCTACCATCCTCATCTACACCATACCTCCATCTGAATTTTGGCCTACCCCTACTTCTACTTCCCACAGGTTGTGGCATAAGGATTCTTCCAGGAGGGTTGTTCTGCTGTGATCTTGCCAGATGTCCTGCCCATCTTAGTCTTCTATTTTTATAAGAGATACTACGTCTTTATCACCAAATATATGTTTATATCTGTGATATATCTCGTAGTTGTACCTCCTTCTCCAAACACCATTTTCACAGATGCCACCGAATATTCTTCTCAGGATCCTTCATTCAAATATAAGCAGGAGGTTTTCATCTGCCTTGGAAATGGTCCATGTCCCGATCCATATGTCAACACTGGTTGTATAAGGGTTTTGTATATGGTTATTTTTGTTTTTTGGCTTAAGTTTGCTTTTCATATGTCTACTCAATCCAAAGTAGCATTTGTTTGTTAGGATTATTCTTCGCGTGATTTCTTTCGTCATGACATTCTCCTTGGTGATCAGGGAGCCTAAGTATGTGAATTTGTCCACCACTTCAAAGGTAAAGTTATCAACCGTGAATTAGTCACTGATGTTTCTAGCTCTATTGTTGGGTGTTGATGCCATTATTTTAGTTTTCTCCTCATTTACTTGCAGGCCCATATTTTTTGAGGCATTTGACAAGGTGGTATACATTTCTTCTAGCTTGCGTGTTGTGCGGGCAACTAGGTCAACATCATCTGCATATGCCAAAATTTGGGATGGATTATTAAAAATGTTTCCTCTGTTGTCTATTTGGGCATCCCTGACCGCCTTTTCCAGAGCTATTTTGAAAAGGAGATACGCCAGCGCATCTCCCTGTCGCAGCCCAACATGCGTTTCAAATGCCTGTAATTGTTCGCCCTGTATTTCGATTTTGCAAACAACTTTACGCATTGTAGCCTTAAACAATCTTATCAGTTTATTGGGGATGTGGAATTCATCCATGGCTTCATACAATTTATTTCTTAGGACTCTATCATAGGCCGATTTAAAATCTACGAAAAGATGGTATGTGTCGTTATTGAATTCATTGGTTTGTTCCAGTAATTGCCTTAGCACAAAGATCTGGTCTTTTGTTGATCGACCAGGCCTAAAACCAATTTGATATTCGCCAAGAATCTCCTTTGAATATGCACTCAGGCGACCATATAAAATACTCGAAAATATTTTGTATGCTGTATTAAGGAGGGTTAATCCCCTATAGTTTCATCATTTCAATTGATCACCCTTTTTGTGTAGCGAGCAAAGGATCCCAATACACCACTCTTCCAGGATTCGTTCCTCATTCCAGGCTCTCAGTATGATTTTATATATATGATTAGTCAGAGTAGCACCTCCACATTTAATAAGTTCCGCGGGTATACCATCACTTCCTGGAGATTTATTATTTTTTAGATGTTTTATTGCATCTCGTACTTCTTGAATTGATGGAGGCTCAATGGTGTGTTGTTGCTTGCTCCTGGAGGTGGTTGATTTGGATCTTCTACTTCGATTATCCTAGTATAGTCGATCATAAAAAAACATTTATTGCTTTTGAATTTACAAACTGTAATGCATCTTCCCTCGATTACAATTACAGACTGCAATTGTTGTTCTCCTACATACAATAATAATTAGAATTATCTCCCACATTCAGAATCTCTTACTCTCTAATCCTTAGTTGCGTCGCACGTCGCTCTTGTTATGATTAACCGTATATACTTGACATAGCAAAGTAGTCATTTAAATCAGTTTATTTTCAGGATAAGTTATAAAATAAAAGTGGTTAATAATAACTGTGTTCCAATAAAATAAAAATAGGTAGACCCGTAATCTACTATTACTTCAACATCGAATTTGTAAGAGGAAAGGGACATCCACAACAGCCATTTTACTTCACTACATCCAATAATGTCATTCGCTGCATTTCTTTTATGATATTTGCCGTTTTTTCATCCTTGGAACATATTTTGTTCCATCTTTTCCAAGTACCGATTTTTAAGTGGGTATTGTATAAGATTGTTGCTGGCTTCGTTATGCCTTTTTCACAAGTATTTGGCTTAATGTCTGCCTGGAAGGCCCTGTGTTCTAGGTATTGTCTTTCTCCCCTGTCGGTCCTTGGTCTCCGGTAACCATGGCTCGTCTTTGTTTCTTCTTTCAGACATATCTCATAGCCATGCTGATCATACAAAGGAAGCTCATTGCGAGTCTTTAATACATTTTATTATCCATAGACATAGTAATTTTTTTTAAATGCACAATACTCAAAAAAGCAATCATTGTTGTTGAGATTTTGTAGGATTTAACATTCATATAATGCCACTGACAACAATTGACAAATTGCACTATATATTTCTGTTTACAGTAACAATAATTATTAATTTTTAATATCTAATGGGAAATCATTTATTTATATTTTAGAAACCAGTTGAAGAGTGGCCTATATGTGATTGTTTAATTTCATTCCATTCCAAAGGATTCCCCTTAGATAAGGCAATACAATATGCTCAATTACATAATCCGTACGTTATCAACAATTTACACATGCAATACGATATACAAGACAGAAGAAAGGTGTATGCAACGCTGGACGTAGAAGGAATCGAAATACCTCGTTATGCTGTTTTAGACAGAGACAGCCCTGATCCAAAAAGTAAGTTGGATAAACATAGTAAATATTTTTCATTAAGACTTTTTTCTGCTCCAATATAAAAATGCTTTCATTATTATACATGAAATTTATATGATTTTTTTTTACTTACAGTAAATACACAATAAAGATGTACTAGAAATAAACAAACCAATACATTATGAATGTTACGAGGAGCACTCACAAATCATGATTTTACATCACATTTTAACAATGTGTAAACGTACATAATACCTCATAAACTACACTACCGAGCATAAAATTAGGGTTATCCCGTAATTTGAATTTCTTTTAGAAATCATTATTCTTTTTTAACTATTTTCGGTTGTAACATAATTTACTATTGGATTGCTTGAAAAAAAAAATTGTTGTTGCGGTTTCGATAAGCGTTTGAGATAAAAAGAGTCCTTTACTCTAATTCCTAAAAACCATTATTAGCATAGTTTTTGTTTCTGTGGTTTTAACGTCAATGGTATATTGTTTGTAGTGCTGTTTCTGTCAATGTATTGTAATGGGCATAAGTTCTAATGTGGCGGCGTTAGAAGATGGCCACGGTCAGCGCAAAACTGCGGGAAACGTTGATGTAAGTCTCTCGAGTGTGCAACAAGTATGGCGACGATACAAAGAAACCAGTCTGCTTACTCGAAGACCTAGTTCAGGTCGAAGCAGAATTACAACAGCTAGAGATGACCGCTTTGTCGTTTTTAGTGCTTTGAGAAACCAAACAGTCACTGCAGTTTTCCTTCAAAATCATCTGCAGCAATGAGAAATGTAAACGTAAGTGAATGGACAGTTAGGAGGCGACTTCATGCTTCTGGTTTATCTTCTTGAACTAGAGTAATTGGACCGCCACCTTCTCGTGAACACTTAATTGTCAGATTGAATTTTGCACGAGAACACTTGGTTTAAACAATACAGGATTGGAGTCGTGAATTGTTTTGTCTAGGCTCAGACAACGTGTAAGAGCGTGTCAGGCGAGAGATGGCTAAATCATGTGTGTGAGGACTTCCATGTAGTGGAGGGTCAGTTATAGCTTGGAGAGGCACATCGTTTGAAGCTCACACGGAGTGAGTATTTATCGAGAATGGGACATTGACTGCGGGTAGATACCTGACATAGATTCTAGAAGACCACATTTGACCGTTTATGGTTATTCTTGGAGATGACGCAACATTTATGCATGATAATGCACGACCCCACACTGCTCGAATAGTTACTGAGTAACTTAACGAGCTTCAAATCTCAAGATTTGTTTGCTCTACTGGCAGTCCAGATATCAGTCCCATAGATCATGTTTGGGATAAGATGAAGATACGTTCACGGAGTCATGTGCCAGTCCACAGAAATTCAAAAGCGCTTCACGACATATTGCTAATAAATGGAACAATCTTCGGCAGAATGTGATCCAACAGATTCGCTCTTAACCTCTACCAACAACAGTTGAAATAACTAAAATTTTGCAAATTTCTTTTTGATGTGACGGAAACAAATTGTAACACTAGCAAATCATAGGTGTTACCTTAAGTTTTTAAGAGGGTAACGCTTTTAATAAATTGATACTTGTTCTCACATAGTTAATATGAAAAAAAAAATCATGGATGCCTGAATACCGCTGGGTACCTAGAAGCCGAAATACTTGTCTAATAATATGCCACACATGATCTATTTCCTATTTAAAATGGATATGTGGTACTAGAAGGGTTAGGTTGACAAATGACAGATGTATGTATATCGTTAAAAGATGTCCCCTTTGGAATAAAAATAGAGTTCTTTTGGCATTTTCACAAAATCCAATAAATATTGGACTCTTTTGGGTGGCCAACCCTGTACTATAAATTATTACAAATGTAAATAAACAAATTTTACAAAACAATGTCTTCAAACATTTACGAGTAAGAAAAAGTGATCCGATTTGTATGCGTAAGGTTCTTTATCTTTATTTACAGACAATTATTTTGAACCTGTTTACTTAACACTGACTGTTTGTCTATTGTATAATTTTGCATTTTAATGTCAACAATCGTCTTGTGTTGGGTAGATTTCCTTGTTTGATCTGCTATAAATAAGTTTTGTAATAGAAGATGTAAACATCATTGTTCAAATACTGATAATATGGTTCTTCGATTACGAATTTATAATATGGTATAGCGCATTCGCTCAGCTCGGGAATATTTTGACAGATTCAGTAGTCGGAAACCTACAATACAAAAATTCCTACCTCACAGCTCAAATAAACTGACTATTGCACATTTTTTTATTGAAAAATTATAAATAGTGAGAGCGTACTCGTTTATAAAACTCATAAAATTTTCCGTATATACATATTTAAAAAATATATTTTAGTTGTTATAATTTAACATATTGTAGTAAATATTTGTATTATTTGCGTTGTTTATTTTATTTAATATAGTTAGTTTATAAGTTTAAACTTGTTTATAATTACGTATGGAAGTTTTCAACATTACCAAATTTTAATGAGCAAAAATTACTATTGGACACGAATCTGCCTTGTAGTGAAGTCATTGAAGCATTATAGCTCCGAATTTCTTTACTGTGAACCGAATTGCATACAATTTTGGAATTAGGTTCATCTTACCCCTAACTTCAAAAGTGAAAATGATTTAAACTCCGCAACCACCCTGGGGGTGGTTGCCACCCCTTCTCGGGGGTGAATGTTTTTTTTTTCAAGATAACCTCGGATATCGATAGAAGTCCTAATTTTAAGCAAAAAATCAACTATATAGTTTTTCGAAAAATCCAATACTTTTCAAGTTATTGGCAATTGAAAATTCGTAATTTTTTCACGTTTTTCACCGTTTTTTTGCAAATATCTCCAAAAATATACGTTTTATCGAAAATTTTATAAAAAACAAAATTGTAGCAGGTAAAAAATGAACAATTGGCAATAATAACTTTATTTACGACGGCTCTAGTAAATTAGCGGTGGTTTCTTGATACCATTCTCGGATATTTCGGAGCCAGGATGTTCTTCGTGGGCCTGGGCCTCTCTTTCCGGTGATCTTACCCTGTATTATGAGGTGTAGAAGGCTATACCTCTCTGAATGTCTCATTACATGACCGAAATATTGTAACTTTCGAATTTTTATCGTTTTTGATATTTCTGTGCTGTTTTTAATTCGATGTAAAACTATTTCATTTCTTATTCGATCAACCCAACTTATCCGCAATACTGGTCGATAAATCCACATCTCAAAGGCCTCTTTGAGATATATATATATATATATATATATATATATATATATATAATATATATATATATATATATATATTTCAATCTGATTTAATAATAATAAATAATACAATAAAACAATAATAATATAACATCATAAAAACAATATACACAATATAATACAATATCAGATAATGAGATAATACAGGACAATAAACAATGAGATATCAGATATCAACTTTTATTTGTCAGTTCGTTAATGTCTGTGTCACGTTTTACGTTTTGGTAAGTCATATATTTATACATATTTTACAATATCTGTTTGTCCTTATACATATACATTTTAGAATCTTGACAAAGGCAAGGGTCTCCTGCCGAACGTTGATTGATTGCTATGGAAAATAAAATCTAGTTCCACATGTAATATAGCCTAATTGAACCTAAACCCAAGAAACATTAATTTTATAATTAAATATATATATATATAATATATATATATAATATATATATATATATATATATATATATATATATATATATATATATATATATATTATTGTGATATTTAAAGTCTTGGTGCGCCAAGCAGTTAATTAGCTAATTAATTAATTAATTAAAATTATTTAAATTATATGATTATGACTCTATCACACTTTTTAATTCTCTTATCTCAGGGTTAAATTCGTGCTTCAATATCTATGCTATTACATATGAAAGGTAAGGTCCAAAGAATACCGGAATAATAAAAAACATATAGGAACTAAACATTATATATTGAAATAAAATAATTAAATAAAATTCACACTCCAAAATTTTCAATAAACAAAATCTCATATAATGATTCTCAAAATTTGTTCTACGTACGTGAACCTTCAAATTATGGTACAAACCATATAAGTTGAAATCTCAAAATCCAAATATTATTCCAAATCTCCTAATCAAAATATTTATATCCTTTCTAAATTAAGTGTAAAAATTGTGTTATCAATAAAAGAAAACTGCAGAAAACAAAACTATCTCTCTCTGATGATGAGTGGTCCAAATCCTTGTTCCTTGTAGACTATATTATCTACTCTCAGCCGCTCCCTAGGTAATCAGCAATATCACAACAAATTATTGCAAGTTTATCGTCCTTAATGATCTCCTTCAAATGCACGAATCGTTCAAATTATGCTAGCTTCTTCTTCTCTCAATAAACTGAATCTCTCGTTGGCCTGAGTTAAAAATGACTCTTGGAATATCTTTTCTTTACGATAAACTGAATCTCTCGTTGGCCTGAACAGTGACTCTTGGAATATAAGTAGAAAAATATAACTTACAATCTTTTACTGGATCAGCTTCTGTCAGATACACTAACTACACGAAAACTCACAAACTTTCACTGCTACTGCTTCCTACCTCTGGGAAACTACCCGAGAACAACGGCCGTTCGCCTTGCACCCTTGGAAACCAACTGCTTATCTTTTCTCTCTCAAAAATCTAGCTAAACTTTCATTCCTACATACCTATCCCACCTTTTTCAATCTCCGCCAATCAAAGCTCGTCACAATTCTCCCATTTTTTCATTTCGATAACAAACAAATTTTTACCTATAATTATAAAATTTCCTAAAACTTATTTACAAATAATATTTTTCTACGATTCTTAAAAACTAACAAAAACCTATCTTTCTAAAATCTATTCTATTGTCCTTAATCACTGCATTAATGTATTTGGAAAACCCGGTTCAATTGTCTTTGGATTTCACTTAAAATTATGCGGGTCACTCAAGTATATTATAACAAAGAAAATAATTTATGCATAGCTTACATTTTGTTTAATACAGGTAATCCAAAAATTTAAAGACTTTCCTTCTTCGAAATGTTTGTTGGTTATTATCCTACTTATCTGAATTATTTTAATGTTTTTGAACTTTGAAATATTTTAAACAAACCAATATTTTTCTTGATTTTACATATCATAACAATATATATTGGATTTGAAATTTCCGCGGGAGCTAAATGTGATTTCAGTTGTTTTCGGGGTTTGACTCCGCGTTAATAGTTTTGGTTTTTTGAAAAACCATTGTTTTGGCGATGTTTCTGCAAGGTCACACTTGCCATTGTCAAGTCAGATTAGTTCTGCTTCTTCTTGATGTTCCAGGAGAACTCAGTTCTGACATTGGTAACCTTTTCATAATTTGTATACCGTTTTTATTAATTTTATTAAATCCGAAATTGAGTATTTCCGTTTGAACAATTTTTGCCGTAATAACTTTAGGTGTCGAATCGGATTTCATCCTCAGTTTTCCCCCGTCTACTAGTTTTTTAGTCTAAGACTGGACGGACGGACGGATTGAGAAACATAATCTTTTGGGGCCGTGCAAGTTCGGAACAGCGACACCTGGTGTCGTAAATCAGCCAAATTTACGTCGCTTTCATGTTAGATCGAGGTTATCGGATAACTGTCAAGGACGTGGCCCCAAAAAAGAATAAGAAGAAAAAGTAAGATTGAGGTTATCTCGGTATGTTATTAAAAGGTAAACGTTGATGTAGCGTAAATACAAATAAATATATTATTGAATTACAGCATTACTGTTAATATGGATGCAATAATAAAAACTGAATTTGAGAAAGTAAATCACCAAATAACTTTTCAACCAAGCACGAGTCAAAGCGAAAAGCTTTAGTAGTGGCAAATGTCAAAAAAGAATGGAAGAATTATGTGGAGTGGAAGAATTAAGAAAAATAAATTACCATAAATAATGCTAATGCATAAATTAGCAGGTTAAGCCCATGATACCATCATATTGGTTTGAACAATTAATTCTTTCCTGTAAACTTTTGGACAGCGAATATATCTTAATGCATCTTCAGAAAAACTTGAACTTGCATTTTTGTAAACTTCAAAAAAATAAAATTCAAACATTAAACTTGATTTTTGAGTTAAAATGAACTCTAAGTGAGTGTTATGAAACTAAAATTTACACTTAAAAGTGAACTTTTATTTATTATTTATTTCAAACTGACTTTAAAATCGGGCGCAAGAATAATGCATAATTTAGGTTATGTTACTTATGCTTTTTTATGATATAAATCCACTTTTCTCTTTGTAGTAGCTTTGTGCTTTGAAGTTGGAAACGAATAAAACTTAAATTGACAATTTTTTGTTGTATTTTTACAATTTATAACACAGCATTTCCTAAATCCCATTTTCTTCAGTGACAGAAGGTGTAAATAAACAAAACGAATATGAAATATGACAATTGACAATGAATTTATGAAATCTATAATCTATGAAATGTGCAGTAAAAGATGCAAGATTTCTCCACTACTCACGCACGATCGTTTCTCGTATCCCTCCAAGTACTTGCACGTCGCCAATAGGATCGAAATTCTATATTTGTATTAATATTTGTATCTTTGCTCTTGTATGTTTTTTAACTTAATAGTCGAAAAGTACATATTTGTGTATCATTTTTAGATCATGAATTAGTAGAATCTGAAGATCATGTAGAAGTCAATGGGATTATTTTTAATAAGCCATTCGTTGAAAAACCTGTTTCTGCAGAAGATCACAATATCTACATCTATTATCCTACATCAGCTGGAGGCGGCAGTCAAAGGCTTTTCAGAAAGGTAAGTTTTATTTTTATACTGCTATACACAATTAATAAAAGTACAACTTCCTGTCGGTAAAATATTCGTTGAAATATATAGATATTGAAACGGAATTATAGCGGACGCGTTAATGTGATAATCCCATTATTTCTCATAAAGCGTATCAAGAGTAGAGCAATATATGATAAGATCCTTAAGCTAAAGTTGGTTGGCTCATTTCAAATTATAGTTTATTTTTATGAACGAGAGAGTAATTAGCATAATTTTAACTGGTACCTTCGACCACTCCATGGGCGTGCTCAAGATTAATTGAATAATTACTTTGAATAATTGTAAAAAATAAATGAATTATTTCAGTGTTATACAAGTGTTATGTGTATGTAAACAAAAGTGACCTCTTTTATCACGCACTATATTATAACTGACTGGCCTACATTAAAAAGGGTTTTAAAAAGTTCACATTTTTTTTTAATTTTTAAAAATTACAAAAGAGAAAAAGAGTTTTTAAAACCGTCTAAGGTATGTTAAATAGATGAATAAAAATATTAATATAAAACTTACAGCTACTTGTTACAAATCCAAATCAGATTCAGAAGATGAACTTTCAGAACCAAGATTTATAATAACTGGCTCGATCATTTTATCAGTAATATTGTCCAGCTTCCACATTTTTTCCTCTTCTTTAATAGTGTGATTTACTGCCTTTTCCCAGTTTTCAGGTTTTACATTATTTACGGCCTCCAAAAACAACTGTTTAACATCATGAATTTTAAAAGTGGTATTTTTTCTTGAAACTTCACTCTTTATCTGTGCCCATACCAGTTCAATCGGGTTTAATTCACAATGATATGGTGGGGATCTAAGTACTGTCATTCCACGATTTTTGGCAATTTCATCAATTTCGTATTTTTTAAATCTTTCTTTATGAAGGGCACACAACGAATAAAGTTCCTTTCTTATAGATCCGGGATGGTACGTAATATTTTTTGAACTCAGCCAATTCTGCAAGTCTTTTTTTAACCACTTGGTTGTGGGCAGTCCTTCTATAAGTCTGGAGTGATAACTTGCATTATCCATTACTATTACACAGTTCTTAGTACACCGGTACGAGTTGATTTAAAAGTTAATAAACCACCTTCAACAAAACCGTCTGAACTGCCAATGTGTACTAATATCAGCCTGCGTCCGTTTCCTGATTGTGGGTTTAAACCAGTAGATAAGTTATTTACAAAAGCGTGCCTTTGACTTGTAACAGTTTCATCCTGCCAAAATTTATTTGGTGTATGACCCTCGTTGATCCATGTTTCATCAAGATAAAATATTTTTCTTTTTTGGTTTCTCATTTCCTTTATGGTTCTTAGAAATGTCTTCTCCATATGACAATATCGCTTCTTTCTAATAAAATAGACTTTCTGGGATTCTTTTTCCAGCGGAAGCCTATTTCTTTTAAAAGTTTCCATAACGTACTTCGACTCATTTCTGGGTAATCCTTATCATCTCGAACTGAGACAAGAATTTTATCCAATGTTGGAAATTCTTGTCTAAAGAAGAATTCATGCACTTTCCGTCGAAGTCCTTCTTTAAAATGATATTCTATTTGAAATTTTGGTTTCCCTGGAGCCTTACGTGGCATTTGAAAACTACCACATTTCTCTTCTTTAATAACTCTGTAAATGGTAGATTTCCCAACACCAAGTGTACTGCTAACTAACTCAACGGTCTCATCAACACTTTCACATAAACGTTTGTCTGTAAATGATTTAAAACAATTAAATATTAATGTTTTTTCATTAACTGTTAAAGGACCAATTTTTCGGCGTTTACACGGCACTTCCAAATTTTCCATAACACTAGTATACACAATAAACTGCACCTTGCAACTGAAGTACCTACTTTTAGTGAACTGTTAAGAATTTTGAATACGCCACTTGGACCTTCCTACCAAATGGAAAAACCCACTATCACATTTTTTGTGGAATAAGTTTAGAAGGTAATTATCTAGTCAATTAGTGTCGTAGATTCCTGGAATTAAAGAATTAAATGTTTGATTGTTGAAACCCGTACTTCGTGGAATGCACTCATTTCAGATAAAATAAAACGTTTTATTTTATCTAAAGAATTAAACTTTATTTTGCAAATAGGTAGGTACTTCTTAAACTTTTATTGGTTATATATAACCAATAAAATAAACATCTTACATTTCTTGCAAATTCATTAGTACCTGTTAACCTCCATCACTCCGACACTGGCAACCTTATTTAGGGATTAGTAACCCTCACAACTATTATTGTTCTGAAGCTATTTTCTTGTGGCATTGTAAATTAATTACTATTATACTGAGAATAAGCCACAATTAAAGATAAAAATACGTTTATTGACGTTTCAATTTCCACTTCGGAAATCGTTCTCAAAATACAAACAGTAAATTAAACAAATTTTGTTTTTTGTTACATAGTGAAAAATTCTTCTAATAATTTAATTTCATCTGACTCATTTATATTGACAATTCAGACATACATTATGCATTTTAAAGTAGACGACTTTAAAATGATATTGCCAATATTGTTGAGTTGCGCTCCTGGGACGACTTTACTTATAAGATAGTTCATTCGATTACATGAAATCAACTTTAACTTGAAAATATCCGTCAGAAAAAAATCATAGCAGTAATTCGTCTTTAGTATTAGTAAGTCAGTAACATATAGAGGATACTCATTTATGTTTTTAAATAACGTAACATATAAAATCAGAATTTTGATGTTTGTTGAAGGTAAACTAAATTCACGAACAAATATTACAATGTCGGGATAGTATTATGAGGTTTTTTTCCTGGTTTTTCCCTCATAATTTACTATGGAATCACTAACAGGAGAATTTTACTGTCATCATGTCATGTTGTTTGTCTTTTTAAAGACGAATTACATGCTATGATTTTTTTCTGACGGATATTTCAAGTTAAAGTTGATTTCATGTAATCGAATGAACTATCTTATAAGTAAAGTCGTCCCAGGAGCGCAACTCAACAATATTGGCAATATCATTTTAAAGTCGTCTACTTTAAAATGCATAATGTATGTCTGAATTGTCAATATAAATGAGTCAGATGAAATTAAATTATTAGAAGAATTTTTCACTATGTAACAAAAAACAAAATTTGTTTAATTTACTGTTTGTATTTTGAGAACGATTTCCGAAGTGGAAATTGAAACGTCAATAAACGTATTTTTATCTTTAATTGTGGCTTATTCCCAGTTTAATAGTAATTAACTCACAACTATTGTATTCTATTCTTCTCCAACCTTTATACCTGGTGGTCATACTCAATTTAAAATTGTTTTCCTATATACTTCTGTAAACTTGTTGACAAATATCTGTTTTTTCATTGAGTCACCCGTATCAACAGTTTAGGGATTTGCATACTAATTTATTGTTTTATTACTCTCTCATACATAAAAACATATAATGGTTGTATCATAAATTAAACATAAACTTGTTTCATTTCAGATCGGTAGTCGTAGTAGTGTATATTCTCCAGAATCTCGAGTACGAAAAACGGGCAGTTTTATTTACGAAGATTTTATGCCTACCGATGGAACAGATGTAAAGGTGAGTACACATTGTACCTAAAATATTTTTAATTTTGCAGAATATTAGAAGTATACTTGGGAGGAAAGTACTTATTAGTCATCATTTATCCATTTGTTTATGTCGACATCGTTTTATTCTTTCTACAAAAAATCTATTAGAGCTAACTATAATGCAGCCATGAAGTGAGAATATTTCCCAAACGTCTGCAGATCTGTCGAAATAATAATGATTCAAAAACCTGAATAATCCAAAAGTAATGACCTCTTCCTCCCCCTCAATCCTTTAGCCCTTGTCAGGGCGTAGTGACACCCTAAATATTATTAGTCTGCTGTCTCCATTGACTGCGATCTTGTGCCATATGGACGGCTTCATGTAGGGATTTTCCCACCAAACTCTTCATTTGGTCCACCCATCGTATTGGAGATCTTCCTCTTGGTCTTCGGCCTTCTACCTTACCTTCTACTACCAATAGTTCCATGGTGCCCGTTCTTCTAGCTATGTGGCCGAAGTAAGTTAGGTATGCTTGGTTTACTTTTTTTAGTAGCCTGTCTTTTATATGAAGCTCTTCCAGAATTGACAGGTTGGTTCTATGTTCTGTCCAGGACACGCGTAGAATTCTTCTATATACCCACATTTCGAAGGCTTCGATCTTACTCCTATCGTATTTTTTTGAGAGTCCATGTTTCAGCTGCATATGTAGCAATGGGAAAAATAAGGGCATTGACCAACCTAAGCTTAGTATTCCTTGTTATTGTTCGGTCTTTCCATATTTTAATTAATTTAGCAGTTGCGGTTCGGGCCATTCCTAGTCTACGTTTGATTTCTGAGGAACAATCACCATTGTTGGTTATCAGAGAGCCCAAGTATACAAATCTGTCGACTACTTCGAAAATCCCTATTTGGCGTATATGCGGTAGATTATTATTTGCTCTGTCTACAATCATTATTTTTGTTTTTCTGGTGTTGATTTGAAGTCTGAATTCTTCACTTATTCGGCTTAGCCGTTCGATGATGGTAATCATTTCGACTTCATTCGCTGCTAGTATAAGTGTGTCATCTGCGTATCGCAGGTTACTGATTTTTCTGCCTCCTATAGTGATTCCTCCATCCCATTCATCTAGTACTTTTCTCATTATATATTCAGAATATGTGTTTTACAATGGTGATAGTATGCAACCTTGTCTAGTTCCTTTCTCTGTTTTGAATGCATTTGAATATATTCCATGTACTTTAACTTTGGCTGATGTTTTTATTATACAGATTTCTTATTAGGTTAACTAGGTGGTTAGGTACTCCCATATTTTCCATTATACTCCAGAGAGGATCCCATTTTACTGAATCAAAAGCCTTTGTGTAATCTACAAAACAGTCAACATTGGTATGTTATGTTCTCTCGCTTTTTCTACTATCTGTCTGGTGTTGAGTATTTGCTCACGCGTTCCCTTTCCTGGTACAAATCCACATTGTTCTTCGGCTATCTCTGGAAGTAGAAAGTTATTTAGCCGTTCATTGATTATATGTAGCAGGATTTTGCTTGCATGAGGGATAAGGGCAACGGTTCTGTAATTGCTGCATATGGTTAGTGATCCTTTTTTATGGATAGGGATCAAGGTTGATTCACACCACTCATCAGGCCATTCACCTGTGATCCATATCATGTTGCACATATCCAGCATTGCATCTACGCCAATTTCGCCTATTGCTTTTAGAGTCTCCGCTGTTATGCCATCGATTCCTGGAGTTTTTTTGTTTCTTAGTTGGTTAAGAGCCTTCTCTACTTCTGCTCGTAAAATGATTGGTTCAGCTTCTCTGATTGCATGTTTTTTGTGTTCTGAGACTGATGCGTCATCTTTTGAAGTGTCTTTGTATAATTCTGAGCAGTAATTTTTCCAGGTCTCTGCGATGCTCTCTATGTCGGTTTTTACTTCTCCATTAGAGTCTTGAATGGCTTGAAGTTGTGACTTGAACTCTCGGGCTAAATATATAACTTTTTTAAATAGTTCATGATTTTCATGGCGGTTTGCATGTTGCTCCAGTTCTTGACACACGTTATTTATATGGTTGTTTTTATCTCTGATGCACATACATTTTATTTTCCTGTTTATCTCCGCTATTTCTTGAGTGTTGCTTCCTGTTTTTGAGATATGTTGTAGCATAGCTCTTCTTTTTTCCACTAACTCTAGTGCTTCCCCTCTTCATCTAGACATCCAATGTTTGTTCTTTTGGGTTTTACGCGATGTGCACTCTTTTTCCACTGAATATATCCAGCTTTTTATTCCATTCCACGTTTTATTTGTGTCTTCTAATACTTGTGGTTTTTCTTTGCTTATCAGTTTCATCTGGAATTCTTCTGCATTACTTACCCTTATCTGTTTTATCTGATGTATTTTTCTAGTTGTGTGTAGTCTGAGCCTGCAGTTCATTTTTAGTAGTTTATGATCTGATCCACAATATGCTCCAGGCATAGCGTTTACATTTGTTATTGAGGTTTTCCATCTTTTCCGCACGAGTATGTAATCGATTTGATTTTTGTGTTCTTTATTTGGACTAGTCCATGTTGAGAGCCTTCTTGGGTGGTGTTTATAAAGGGTATTTGTTATCACTAAATTATTTTCACTGACAAACTGTAGAAGACGTTCTCCTCTGTTGTTTCTAATGCCCAAGCCAAATGACCCAACAATACCTCTTAAATGTGGTTCATTATCCGTTTTTCCCACTTTGGCGTTAAAGTCTCCAATAATATATACTGGCTCTTTTTGTGGTATCTTCTTCATGCTAGGTTAATTTCATGTCTTCATCTGGGACATCTTTTGTGGGCATATATATTTGAATGACATGGAAATTTTCTGGTTTTGCTTCTATTGTAATTTTTATGAGTCTGTCGTTTATTGTTTCATATTGTCTGACATATTTAGATATTCTGTTGTTTATAAGTATGGCTACTCCATTGTGCCTGTATTTGAGATCCTGATATGTAGATAGTGTGGTTTTGTGTTTTAAAATGTCCTTGATCTTTCCAGTGTGTCTCTGCTAGACCACATATGTCTATATTTTGTCTTATTATGTCTTTCTCTACTAGGTAAAGTTTTCCAGTTTGGACAAGACCTGTGACGTTCCATGTCCCTATATTCATCAATTTTCTGCCTTGAAACTTCTGTGTTTGGTTATTTCTTCCAGTCGCCCATTTACCACGAGTGGTCTGGTTGCTCGCACACTCGTGCCCGGTAGCCCATTTCATACTGTCTGACCCGGAATCAGGACAGCGCCGGTCGCTAACCGGATCGCATGGCATGTCTACTTTTTGTGTTGCGCTACTCATTGATTTATTTAGAGTGTACTCTCGGGAGAATAATCAGGTGGTTTCATCTTGCCTGCCTGATCGCAGTGTTACGGCCGGTTGAATCAATATGTGATGTCCGCCCGTGAGTGTCTGTTATCAAGCCAACAGCAGAAATCATTCCACTGCGGCCTTGATTCAGTAATGACATAGCTGCTGCCCTATGCCATGTCGCAGTATCACAGTCGCTTAACTCATAATGTGAGTGACGCCTGTGAGTATCTGAAATTAAGCCTACAGGATCTTTACTTCCTATAGCCTTAATCCAGTAATGACATTACTGCTGCCTAATGTCATATCCTCAGTTGATCCGCGGGTACTTATTTGGCAATGCCTTATTCGTACCTGTCCTGCATATCTGCAGGAACTTTCCCTATCAGCCATAATGACCTCTTACTACACATCAATAAATCTACTTCCAACTCTCTCCAAGATCTCTCCAAAAAAGATAAATAATTAATAGCTGAACGTTAGTTTGCTGTCAGAAATGAACTGGATGTATTTAACGACAATATAGAGAGGGAAATTTGGTTTGGGACGTGTTTCGGTTGGGTTTTCTTCTCTGTAACATCTATGGAAAACCTGAGTCACATCAAAGTATAAAAACATATCTAGGCAACCAGTAGTTTTTAATTCGTTATGGGACATGATATGCTTCCAAATATAATCCATCATAGATTAAGTTCCAAAATGTAGCGCAGGAGACCAACTAGTCTAGGTTCAGCCGATTTATACTGTTGGCATCACACGTCATATCGGAAATAGTGTCAACACATCTTCAAAACAATTAGAATATGTTCCACAATGTGCTAATAAATTTAAAAATAAAACGGAATACTATCAAATTAACACAGCTCAGAAAGGAGGAAAGGAATTTGGCCTCCTGCTAAACTATACGTTCAATATCATAGAGATTCGGTTTATGTTAAATACTTTGGTATATACTTTGATGTAAGGTTTTGAGACATTTTCATAAGGTTTTAAGGAATGTTTTGAGACATTCTCTTATATGCAGTTTTTTACTGCTCTCTATCTTATTAAGTATTGCATATAATTACCTATACATTGAAACTTCTGATCCGTTTATTGATTACCTACATCTATTATAATTGTCATTCATTTTTTGATTGATGGTAATATGGTTTTCGCCAGCAAAATCTAGACACTTTTCATATTATTTCATATTCTAGGTATATACAGTTGGTCCAGACTACGCCCATGCTGAAGCCCGTAAGTCTCCAGCTCTTGACGGCAAAGTGGAGAGAGATCGGGACGGTAAAGAAATTCGCTATCCCGTTATTCTCAGCAACGCAGAGAAGCTCATATCTCGAAAGGTTTGTCTTGCGTTTAAACAAGCCGTATGCGGATTCGACCTCCTAAGAGCGAACGGGAAATCTTTCGTGTGCGACGTCAACGGTTTTAGTTTCGTTAAAAATTCGAATAAGTATTACGATGATTGTGCTAGAATTCTGGGAAATATGATACTGAGAGAATTAGCTCCGACTTTGCATATACCATGGTCAGTGCCGTTCCAATTGGACGATCCTCCCATAGTACCGACTACGTTTGGAAAGATGATGGAGTTGCGATGCGTAGTGGCTGTGATAAGACATGGTGATAGGACGCCGAAACAGAAAATGAAGGTTGAAGTTCGTCATCCTAAGTAAGTAGTTATTTTAAAATTTACCATAGCTATTCCGATATCTTAATTTGATTATTGTATTCATCATCGTCATCATTATCTGTCAACCTCTTGGATCGACTGTTGGATATAGGTCTCCTCCATCCTCTTCTAATATTCTCTATCCTGTGCTTTCTACATCCAATTCCCTGCTTTTGCAGGCTTCTTAAGTCGTCAATCTGTCTTGTTGATAGTCTACCTCGTTGCCTTTTGTATTCTCTAGGTATCCATTCTGTGAGTCTTTTGGTTCAGCTATTGGCTGCCTAAGAATTACAAGGTTGTATGATACAAAATGTAGAAACTGAGAAATGACTTTGAATATTTTGACCATTAGATTTGGTATACACAAAAGTATAGTTGCTTTTGTTTAAACATAATAAATGAAAGTCTACTACAAAAGCACATAAAAAAAGGAATAGAAAATGTTTAATTTTTTCCATATTTTTATTCAAAAGGCAGCTTCCATAAATGCGACAATTATAGAACTATCTCTCTTATATCCCATGCCAGCAAGATAATGCTACATATAATCAATGAGAGACTGAAAACATTCCTTCAAAGAGAAATTCCACAAGAGCAAACTGGATTTACCAAAGGTAGAGGTACTCGAGAACACCTGCTGAATATAAGACAGATAATCGAGAAATCTAGGGAATTCAACATCCCACTATACATCTGTTTTATAGATTACCGTAAAGCGTTCGACAGGGTCAAGTGGAGACACTTATGGCGAATACTAAAGAAGTAGGCGTACCACAACATCTAATTACGCTTATAACCGAACTATATGAACACACTACTGGATTAGTTAAAGTACTTGACACACTTTTGAACGAATTTCATCCAAAACGGGGTGTCAGACAAGGATGTATACTATCTCCACAATTATTTAACATATATGGGGAGTATATCATGCGAAGAGCACTTGAAGGATGGGAAAAGGGCATCTCAATAAATGGTCATAAACTAAACAACCTAACGTTTCGCAGATGACACAGCCCTTCTTGCAAATAGTCAAGCAGAGATGATAGAACTTATACGACTGATCGAAAACGAAAGTCAAGTATTTGGTCTGCAATTAAACATATCAAAGACAAAGATCATGATAGTGGATAGACTACACAACAATCATCCACACATAACCACAATTGACCGGTTCGAGGTTGTGAGCTCATACTTATATCTGGGATCATTAATCACAAACACAGGGTCATTACAAGAAGAGATTAAACGTAGATCTGATCTAGCAAAAGTTGCCACAGCAAAAATGACCAAAATATGGAAGGACTGTCAAATTTCAAGAGCGATAAAGATGAGGTTGATCAACCGCTTAATATTCCCAATACTGACCTACGGATGTGAATCTTGGACTCTGAGACAATCGGAGAGAAGAAACATAGACGCCACTGAAATGTTCTGTTGGAGACGAATGTTACGAATTCCTTGGACCGACCGCAGAACAAATAATTCAATTTTAAGAGAGCTAAAAGTTAGCCAACGACTCTCTAGTAAAGTCCATCTCCAACAATTAAAATATTTTGGGCATGTTATGAGAGCAAACACAGAAAACATGGAAAGACTCATAATACAAGGAAAGGTAGAAGGCCGAAGATCACGAGGAAGATCCCCAACAAGATGGATAGATCAAATTACAGGAATATGCCAAAGACCTATGCATGAATTAAAAGAAATGACCAGAGACAGAGATCTCTGGAGACGGACAATACACGACATCACGTCGACCACTGCACTCCCCCTGGGGGGTCAGGATTGAAGAGAGAGAGAGATTCAAAAAATAAAATAACATAGAACTTCGTGACTCTAATAAAAAACGAAAAATGCAAAAACATGCAACATAAGTCTTTGTAACATTATCTGCTGATCAGCAATCTCATTTTTAACTGTTTATGTTGAGATATGTTGGAAAACATGTGAACATAAAAGTTTCTGTCCACATCTGGCATCCACTGGTACATAGATTTCAGAGCTTCCACATTGTTTTGTGCCAAAATGACTTTAATATCATTTTTGTTTATTGATATGGGTATTTCGTCATTTTCAGCAGTATGTCTCCACGCATTCCGTTGTCTTAAACTGATGATTTTGTATTCACCTTCGTTAAAAGTGGTTCGGAAACCGATGTCATAAAAATCTGTAGTAAATTGTAAAGAAACCACCTTTGAAAATGGAACTGCAGTATAATTCAGTTTTGATCAACAGGTTGAAAAATCCATAAAATCTTGCTCTTTTATTTTAAGTATGGTGTACGGCTTTCTTGTGTTTACCTTCAAAAAGACTCTTAATAACGAAAGTGGAGAATAGTATTCAGAACTCCAACTGTGTTCAATTGCACTGTCAACTGAATCAACCTCTTGTATGCAGGAATGTCCAGGTACTGAAAATTTTCTTTAAGTTCGTATAAATTTTTAAAATATGTGTAATAGCAAAACTCATCAATCTGTTGCGATTTTGCGGAACGCAACTATCGCTCCACAAAGTCAAATCCTCCAATAACCGATAGTCTTCTACAACCCTTTTCAGGATTCTGTATACAACACTGGCAATATCATTCCCAGCCCGACCATGCATTGCCTCTGACCAAATCGCGCAATAAACAGTCCAGTTTGTGGAAAGGTGCGCTGTCATGTTCCATACATTTAGCTTACTTTTATAAAAGAAATTTTTTATGTCTCCTTTTGGACATGTCAATATATTTTGAAAGTCAAAACACAGTACTGCGTTACCATTTTCAATATCCGTCTTATTCTCTTCTCTCATTAAATTTTTTTCTTGCAAGTGTTTTTCATATTCCTTTTTCTTTTCTTTATTAAGGGTGTTTTCTTCAGGCAGTCTATTTCAGTACAGAGATCACATAGATCTTTTGAAGGTTTATTAAATGAATAATTGAATTCAGTGCAAAATATTTTGCGATAAACAAGTTTTACTGATGTAACTTTTTTTCTGTGCTTTCCCTGAACACTTTGACGAATTGTGTTCGTTTCTGTAGAATTTTTGTAAACAGTACCTATATATACTTCATCTAATTTAGATAACGACTTACGTCATTATCTACGTCAGAGATCGAAGTTGACATAGTTGCCAAAGTATAAAAAAATCCTGACTCCATTTTAAATCAAATAGATTACATAATTATTGCAAAAGTATTACCATCTCTTTACAACGACTATTTAAATTCTTACGTGACATTTTTGAAATAAAACACACTAATCTTGTTCTAAAAAGAACAGATTTTAGTAAATAGTTAAAAATATAAAACAAGAGATATTCACTTTAAAATTCAAAATAATGAAGTACAAAAAGTGTCAACACCGCAACTGTCAAATAAGTGTTACCAATTTATGCCAAAATTTTAGCTTTGTTCGATTACAGTTACAGTGTGTTCCGAACAAATGTTCTTGATAAAAACGCTTTATAATGCATTTATACAAATTAAATGAAACATATTATTGTGTATTTCTTTAAGTTAACATTAATAGAAATTTTTAAATATTATTTCTACGCGTATATAATAAAATATGTCTAGTGTCTGTAATGCCAGTGTAACTCGGTAAAGTGATTCTAAAAAAGAACACACCTACACCCTAAATATTTTGTGTTGGTATCATGTAACTTCACAGGCTATGACGCCGATGACGTGCATCGTTATATAAATTAGATGAAGTGTATAGATTTTTGACTTATACCTAGTGTTCCGCAGTAAAACTGTTTGCAAACCTGTATTTTGTTATTACTTAAAATAAAGAAGAATTTAAATCTTTTATTTTTTTTGAGTTTGGTCATTTTTTCCTTTTCTTCTTTGCTGTGGAATACCCATTTGAGTTGTGCTTAAAATAAACATCATTTTTTCACTGCTACTAAGCTTGTAACAATCAGAAAATAATTTTTTTCTGTCTTCTTCGCTTATGTTTTTGACACATTTATAAATGCATTTCTTAAGGCAGTCTTTATTTGTTTTTATCTCTCTTGCTGGTCTTAACTTCTTTCCTGAAGAAATGTATTCTAGCCCTCTATGACAATTGTGTTTTCTAATATTGCAGTCCCAACGCTCGGGATTTCTAGATCTCTTTCTAGTACGTTTTTTCTCTTGTAAACTGTTATTATTTTTCTGCGGTTGATTTTCGGAATTTTCCTCATATTGCTGTGTGCATATTTCTTTATTTTCTTTGGAAAAGTCGACTTTTATTGGAATTGTTTGTTTAGTACAGATATAAATCGAGTAATAAAATTGATGACAATTTATATATACTACATCTTCTTCTTAAGGTGCCTTCTCCATTACTGAAGGTTGGCTATAACTACAGCAAATTGCTCTCTATCTTGAGCTGTTCTTAGTATCGCATGTGTGTCCATGCCTGTCCAGTCTCTTATGTTCTTCAACCAGGAGCATTTTCTTCTTCCTGGACCTCTTCTTCCTTCCACTTTCCCTTCCATTATAAGTCGTAGGAAGTTGTATTTTTCTCCTCTGTAGATATGTCCTAAATAACTCGTTTTTTCGGTTTTTTTACAATATTTAGGAGTTCTCTGTCAGTACCCATTCTTCTTAGCACCTCGTTGTTGGTCACGTGCTCTGTCCAAGAGATCTTCAGCATTCTTCGAAAACCCACATCTCAAAGGCTTCTATACGCCTCATACTTGTAATTCCGAGAGTCCATATATACTACATAGGACCGTGTTATTTTGAGTTTAGAAAGTTCACTGAAATTTTGCGAAAAACAAAGTCGTATGTTTAACATAGGACTATGTTGCGCTCTTTTCATATTTTCATAACATGCACCAATGATTTTCGATTAATTTTTGAGAATTTCACGCATATATTGTAGATTTACAAAGTTCTATGGGTACCTTATGATACATAGAACCTTTTTATCTTAAAATTGCTGATTTTTTAATTTTGTTACATACAACCTTGGAATACTCAGGCAGCGTATTATCATTTAAACCTGATGTACTTCGTTGTCACTTATTCTCATAATATCACTTCGAACTAAATTGGTCATGTATTTTATTTAAGTTTATGTTTAGGTCTACTTGTTCTATTGCTCTATTGCCTGTTTTAATTCTTTCATAATTTTTGTAAGCTTCATTTAAACTCTCTCAAGTAACAATATTAACTGCAAAACGCAAGTGACTTAAGTATTGACCATCAATATCTATTTTCTTTTTAACCTAATTTAGTTCTTTTAACGCTTATTTCAGAACGAATAGTTGGGGGAAGATGGTATTGGTTTATTGCACTTATTGGTCTATAATTCTTTAGATATATCTTCCTTTTTGTCTATTAGGATAGTGATTGCATTATTCATTATTCAATTTTGTAGGGACTATACTTCGCTTTACGCATAAGTTATATATAGTTTAGTTATTATTTACAGAAAGTTCTTGCCACCTACTTTAACAACTTTTATTACTGTTTGGTCGCTAACGGGGCTTTTTTGTTTTTCATTTCTTTTAGCGTTCGTTTCACTTCCTCTATCACCCGATATGTACCCGAGATTTTGTTTCCAAAAAACTCGTTCCAAGTCCGGTAGACAGAAAGATACCCATTCGTGCTCGAATTTATGTGTATCCACAGCGCTCATGGATGCCAATTTAAGTTCCACTCTATCATGTTACTCCTTCCTTGGCGTCCATCTGTAGAAAAAAAAAACTTTTTAAAATAAATAACTTTTATAAAATTATTTTTTAGGTTTTTTGAAATATTCGAAAAGTATGATGGTTATAAACATGGACACGTGAAGTTAAAAAGACCGAAACAGCTTCAAGAAATCCTGGATATAGCCAGATCTTTATTAACAGAAATACAACTTCACGAGGCTGATCCAGAAATTGAAGAGAAACAGGGTAAATTGGAGCAACTAAAGGCTGTGTTAGAAATGTAAGTAACTACGTACCATGCACGTATAAACACAGATCTGTGTTTATACGTCCATACTCACTATTCATACGAGATATTTAATAAATAGAAGATAAGTATTGTTTTATTCTTAATAGAACTCATAGAATCATGATGCGAAGCTTTTAGGCATTTATTAATTCATACCTGTTTCTAGAGATTCTATAATTCATTTACATAGTCTCAAGTAGATGATCATATAAATATCTCATATTTAATTATTTTTTTAAATTTTGTTTTTACTTTTTTTTGTACAAAATTTATCATATCACAGGCTTTGAAATATTGAGTTTCAATTTTTAAATAATACATACGCCTACATGAAAATGAATTTCTAAATTAATAATTATAACATATTATTATACAGGTATGGTCACTTCTCTGGTATTAACAGAAAAGTTCAGATGAAATATCAACCTAAAGGTAGACCCAGGGGATCGAGTTCAGATGATGGTAAGTGCACTTTTCTGATAAATTATAACCGTGTTTTTTATGCCCACTAGATCTTTTCTGGTTGTAATTTCCTACAAGAATATTCTGGTTAATTCTAATTAAAGATAGTAAATAATATTAAAAGGTCACTATAAAATACCTTCAGAGTACTATATGTAATAATTATCGATTTTTTTTCAGTGGATAAACCAGCTGAACCTTCGCTGGTACTCATCCTAAAATGGGGTGGGGAACTAACACCAGCTGGTCGAATTCAAGCTGAAGAACTCGGTAGAATATTTCGTTGCATGTATCCAGGAGGACAAGGTAGACATCTGGCTGGTTGGTATTTGTTGCTTTTTATGTATTTTTTTCAGCACTTTTAATTTTTATTTGCTTATTCTACTGCGCATACTCGTTAAGACCACTCTTATGCACAGTCTTTCCCTTAGAATATACATAGATGTATAACTACCCTATAACACATAAAGAATAAGATTTGATGGCTACTACATAAGTGTGTTGTTAAGGAATTCGAGAAGATTTGAGCACGTGAAGAAACGTATTGGAATATGTAGGCATTAAAAAGTAAAAATCAATTTATTTAATGGTGATTTTTAACAAATTTCTACAAAACTCATGTCTAAGGCGTAGAAGTGAATTCACGGAACTGGTCAATATATTTTTTCCAAATTTTAATTTGTAAAACATTTCCCATTTGAGAATCGTCTGACGATGATATTATTAACTAAATAGTTTTTAAAATATACTATAAATTGCGCTTATTGGTAATTTTCTAGTAAATCTGTTGCACGCCATCCAATTTAAAGTAGTCATTTTAGTACAGCGTTGCCGTATTGACAAGATAGTAGAGAATATAGGGAATTGTGAAAGAGTGAATCATCGATATAATATACTCAGGATGGAACATCTTCTGTACATCAATAAATTTACTACCAACGTCTTTTTCACTGAATATATCTCCAAGTACAGAGGAACTTATCTAAAACTTATCAAAACAGCTAAAAAATGTACTATCAAAATCGTTTGGGAAGCTCTAAAAATGTTGCAAAAGAAACTTGGTTCATAATAAACGATATTCGAAATAAAATTAACACAGCTCAAAAATTTTCTCTTCTAAACCCTGAAAATCTAACTAAATACTGCGTTAATGTGAGTAAAAATATAACATCAACATTTTGCCACAACAAGATTTTATTTCCTACCTCCCCAATTCAAAAGAAGTCTTGAATTCATTCTTTATAATACCAGTTGATAAATCTTAACTGCTCCAAACAATCAGTAGTATCAAAAGCAAAAGCAAAACTAACTTTCTACGGAATTTGAGGTATTCCTTTGTTCCAATTGGTTCCAATCTTACTTGAGGAATAGAAAACAACTAGTCAGAGCAAATGATACTGACTCTAGTCACAAAAGCATTTTATATAAAGTACCACAAGGTTCAGTATTTTGTCCTTTTCTTTTCCTTATCTTTATAACTGACATCACTAACTTAAACATCGATGGAAAAACTTTTATCTTTTCTGATGATACCAGTATCACCTGGAGGAACTCTAATATTGCAACTCTTCATGTAACTATAACTTCTGATCTACTTAAAATAAAAACCTGGTCCAACTCTAATGTACTCTGTTTTAAGGTGGATAAGACAGTATTATAAAGGAGCTCTTCAACCCTTTCTTCTTAATAACAGCCAGATCAGAATAGTTGATTCTGTAAAATTATCTTATGCAATAAAATCTGTTTCGAAGGACAATCAATCTTTAGCATCTTCCAAAATAACATATTTTTTTGTTTGTTGGAGTCTCATCTTCGATATGGTCTTCCTTTTTGGGGTTCTAGTACAGCTGCCCAATCTCATGTTATTTTTCAATTACAAAAAAGGTATCAGTAGACGTTGGCATTATTGGACGAGTACAGTCATATACTAGATAATCTGTTAAGTATAAACAAAATCAACAGACCGAAGAATGTTTCAATTCATCACTTGATAAGTTCATTTTAAAATCTTGCTGTGACACATACAAGTTGCTCTGATCTACAATTGTCTGCATTATGTTATTCTCAAACTACAACTCAAAACAGAAAGACCGTTGTCTGTTCCAACATTACATTTTGTACCAAAGGGTTGATCATATATAAAACATTTAAAAGCAAGATTTTGTAGTGCATCAATTTTTGTTGATTCACACTCTACATGAGCCTTTTTCGCCGGCCTTAGTATTGTTACTGTTTCTAGTTATTTTTAACTACTAGTGGAAGAATTTGGATCACTTTATCTTTCTGAAATCATATTAATCATATTTAATTCTGATTTCGATGCTCGACGTAATGGAGTTTGTCTAAGGTTAATTGATGTTTTTGAAGACTTGATTGTTCTTGAAGAAGGGAGAATATTAAATTTCTTGCAGATAGTACAAAAATTCTAAATATTCTCTTAGTCGAAAAGGTTTACAAGATATGTATATAACCAAAAACTGGTAACAGTACAAGAAAACTTTTTATTACTATCAAAGCGAGAAATTATTTAGAGAGTTACAGTATGGTTTAAGTTTTTCAAAATAAATGCTTACCTCAAAATCTTCAAAAAAAACAACTTGAATATTTTAACTGTTAAATTAGCCAATACTACTTGCCGATTTATTTAAGTTTTATAGCACAAATACTGTAAACTGAACACAAAACACTATACCACGTGAATTACTGTAACCACACTAATACCCGGTATAAATAAACCTCTTTCAACTATACGGGCCAAATACGGCTATTTGACTAAACCTAAGTGGAACGACAGATGCTGGGTATCTCACTCAAAGACCATAAAACCAATGAAGACGTTCGTAATAGAACAAAAGTAAAAAATGCTGTCGAACAGGCAGCTAAATGGAAATGGGCTGGACATAACGAACGTCTTAAGGATGGCCGATGGAATAAAGAAATCGGGAGTTGGCGGCCATATGAAGCCAAAAGACCACGAGGAATACGCAATTGCGCTGGAGCGACGATATTAAAAGAACTGCAGGACCAATGTGGAAACGTCTTACAAACTTCTTCTTCTTCACTGGCTTTACAACTCGGGGTGAGTCTTCGCCGCATCCACTATCGCCCTCCATCCTCTACGATCTTGCGCTTCTATTTCCCATTGTTGTAGCCCAATTCTAGATAAATCGGCTTCAACATCATCCTTCCATCTTTTTCTCGGTCGTCCGACTGATCTACCATCTGCTCTTTCAAAAAACACTGTCTTTAACACTCTGTCATCCTCTGATCATACGACGTCACCTGCCCATCTAAAAAATGCTGTCTAACAGGCAGCTAAATGGAAATGGGCTGGACATAACGAACGTCTTAAGGATGGCCGATGGAATAAAGAAATCGGGAGTTGGCGGCCATATGAAGCCAAAAGACCACGAGGAATACGCAATTGCGCTGGAGCGACGATATTAAAAGAACTGCAAGACCAATGTGGAAACGTCTTACAAACTTCTTCTTCTTCACTGGCTTTACAACTCGGGGTGAGTCTTCGCCGCATCCACTATCGCCCTCCATCCTCTACGATCTTGCGCTTCTATTTCCCATTGTTGTAGCCCAATTCTAGATAAATCGCCTTCAACATCATCCTTCCATCTTTTTCTCGGTTGTCCGACTGATCTACCATCTGGTCTTTCAAAAAACACTGTCTTTAACACTCTGTCATCCTCTGATCATACTACGTGACCTGCTTATCTTATTCGGTTTGCTTTAATGTGTCTAACTATGTTTTCAGTTCCATACAGAGTCACCAATTTAGCATTGCGGCGTCTTCTCCAATGGTGTTTGTATAATTCTATGTTAACATTCATGTTCATCACATTCTACGCTTGCTGGATAGCCCATATTTGACGAAATGCCCTGAGGATGCTATATTAAGCGAAAGTACTTGGGCAAGATTTGATTAAACTTGTGCTCGATTTTTGCCTTAATTTTCAAAGTTCTTCTCCAATCCCCTGTGAATTCCTCTCTTTGAGGGCCAAATATTATTCTGAGAACATTTCTTTCAAATACTAGAATTTTATTGATTTCCCGCTGGTTGAGTCTTACAAACAGAAATGAATGGCGAGAATTAGGAGAGGCCTATATTTGGCAATCCGAATAGAGAGGGCTTAAAAAAAAGTAAATAATACTACCAAATTGCGTAGCGAATCATTCGTAAACAGTTGAAGAGTATAGAGATCATTATACACGTGTTTTGTGTAGCATAGCAATGTGTGTATTTTGAGCCTAAATGGGTGTTGGTAAATATATTATATGCCAAGAACCTCTAAAATATTAATTCATTTGTTTAATTATGCACAATAAAAAAATGGGACAATAAAAATAATTAACTATAACGAAGAATTTTTATGCTGAATTTGCTGCTTGATAAAATATTGTTAATGATTAAGATTTTTGGATCTCACAAAGCTCCAAGATTTAGCTTTTTGCAATTTAGTTTTGATTCATAAAAATTAATCTCATAAGATTAAATTAGAACAATGTATATTATTACCAATCAGCTTTTGAATAAAATATCAAAATTATTGTTACCTCCCCAAATATGACTGCATTGTTTTACTTCTGTCACCGCAGTTATTAGTATCAGTGGTCCTTCATTATCACGCTCTTTTCCAAAATATTGTTCAATATAAGTTATTGTTTTTAAATTTAAAGATATATAAATTTTATTTCACTGGAAATATGAAATATATAATTAACGAAATAATTCTCAAATTATCAAAATAATCACGATAAAATTTACGCTACCTGGTAATATGAGTGTTCATATAAGTTTAGAAATACTAGCTTAGTCGGGGAAACTCTAAACAATTGATTGTACTGTGATGACGTTTAAATGCCATTGATGACGTGCAACGAATATGGAGGAAAAAATGTTTATCTGTCACTAAGTCAACTTAACCTATATTAATTAACCTTGATTTCCTTTATATAGTCACCGACACAGCATAAGCACAGAATAATAAACAATCAGAATGTCCACTCTCAGATGCCCCCTTTGAAGTTTTTCAGCACGCGCGCTATGTTTTAGAAGGAAACACATAACACAGACATATGATTTGTGAGGTTATGTAGTTGTTTATATTTATGTTTAATTATATTATTATTTATGTTATTATATTTAACAATGTTAATTTAATTGTATAGTATGTCTATGATTGCCGTAAGTCAATTAAACCGGATTAATTTTTCTATGCACACCACATAAACAACACTGGTTGTGGGCGACATGGAGAGTGGGCATTCTGATTGTTTATTATTCTGTGGCATAAGGAACCTATGCTGTG